GAGAGTAATTTTTTTTCTTTTTTTTTTTTTTTTGATAAAAAAGAAAAGCAGATTTTGTATTAGTAACAAATCGAGAAACGAGCGCGTGAATTTTCTTGATTATCCAGAGTCCTGCTGTGTCGCTGAAAATTCGAACAAATTTTCGCAATGGGAATGCAAAACTCTGGCCACGTTTCGTAACGACAAAATTTTGCAACTATGCTTCCATTTAATTCCCAGCGAAAATTCATTTCGGTTCTCGTTGCGTCTTTTGTTAATCGTGCACGATGATACAGATTATCCAATCGTCACGAAACTCGCGACTCTTTAACAAAAACCAAGAAAGGAAGAAAAGAAAGAAAAATTCATAGAAAAATGCGTATTTTGACGCGTATAATATTCACATTATACTCGTTATACATGTATTTTAGAAGCTGGTCAATTGTTAACGAAACACGATTAGATTTTCCATCCAAAAAATAATAAAAGAGGTGAATTTAGGCTTCTGTCTCCAATTTCAAACGAAAATTCATCCAGTTCTCGTTCGTGAATATACGTACAAACATCTGTAACCTAATCGTCGCGAAACTCGCGATTCTTTAACAAAAATCACCTTGCAAGAAAGGAAGAAAGAAAAGAAAAATTCGCGTCATAGAAAAATACGTATTTTGACATGTATAACATTCATATTATAGACGTTATACGCGTATTTTAGAAGCTTGTCAACTGTTAATGAGACACGATTAGATTTTCCATCGAAAAATACTAAAAGAGGTGGATTTAAGCTTCAAGCGAAAATTCATCCACTTCTCGTTCGTGAATATACGTACGAACATCTGTAACCTAATCGTCGCGAAACTCGCGATTCTTTAACAAAAATTACCTTGCAAGGAAGGAAGAAAGAAAAGAAAAATTCGCGTCATAGAAAAATACGTACTTTGCAACGTATAACATTCATATTATAGACGTAATGCGCGTATTTTGGAAGCTTGTCAACTGTTAATGAGACACGATTAGATTTTCCGTCGAAAAATACGAAAATTCAAACGAAAATTCATCCAGTTCTCGTTCGTGAATATCCGTACAAACACCTGTAATCTAAACTCGCGATTCTTTAACAAAAATCACCTTGCAAGAAAGGAAGAAAGAAAAGAAAAATTCGCGTCATAGAAAAATATTTTGACACACGTATAACATTCATATTATACAGGTTATACCTATTTTAGAAGCTGGTCAACTGTTAATGAGACACGATTAGATTTTCCATCGAGAAATACTAAAAGAGGTGAGTTTAAGCTTCAAACGAAAATTCATCCACTTCTCGTTCGTGAATATACGTACAAACACCTGTAATCTAAACTCGCGATTCTTTCACAAAAACCACCTTGCAAGAAAGGAAAAAAAGAAAAAAAAAAAGAAAAAAAGAGAAAAATTCGCGTCAGAGAAAAATACTATTCTATTGATATTCTCGGTGTGAGACGCGATCGAGGCGATCGCGAGCGCAAAGATGGCGCGACACAGGGGATCGAACCGGGACCGAGGAGCCGATGTTCCATGCAAAACACACAAACAGACCTTTGTACGAGGTTTCCACAAAATCCGTAAAGGCGAGGGGGATGGCGGAGGGGGTAGGTGAGAGGAGTCCTAGTCACAAAGACAAAAAAGAGAAGAGAATACGCGAGCCACCTGACGGTAAAAAAAAAAAAACGGTGAAAAACAAAGAACTGGTATTGAAAGTGTGCCGTTTGATGGTGGTGGAGGAAGGCATCTATGCGTCTACTTACACCCTCGCCGACCTATACCCTCGCTGAAGTTATTCGGTTCGGTGTGTGGATAGGGGAGCCAGCCAGCCAGCCAGCCAACCAGCCAGGAATAAGAAAAAGAGTATACACGACTGATCTCGACTAAGATTATAAAATGGCGACCCTCACCCTCTGGCTGTTCTTAATTTCGCTCGAATCCTTTTGTCCCCTCTTACTCAGTCTGCTTTCCCCTTCTTCTTCTTCTTCTTCTGCTTCTTCTTCTTCTTCTTCTTCTTCTTCTTCTTTTTTTTTTCTTTTCTTTTCGCCCAGCCATCTCTCGCCCACTCCACCCCACTTCCTCCTTTGCTTTCGCAATCGGCACAGCTCTCGAGACGTTGCCAAAGGAATCTTCGCGAAGAAGCAGAGGAGGAGGCTGGTTGGAATTCTTCTGCGCGGCGATATTCTGATGAATATAAGAATATATCCACGTAGCCGTGGAAACGGATACGATGCTCAACGATCGTCGCGTAAACGAAGGGGTGGCTCACTGCGGCCAGTGTCTGAGCTGTCTCGTTATGTTCGAACGTTGTGCAACTTTCTCCATACGATCCGGAGGCTTCCTCCTTGTGTCACAGACGAAGTACAGTCGTACAATTTTGAATCGGAGCTTGATGCTTCGTCCGATCGTTAAAATTCCAAGAACTGGCCCAGAGTCAGAGTTGTCTATTCGAAGCGACTTTCTCTCTAGAAATCTAAATAATCTTCTCTCGGGAGAACGATCCCCGTGTTCTTCTGTAAACGTAACAGAAAAACGAATCAGTATCGATTACGATCGAACGTGTAGCGATGTTTCGTCCAATCGATGAAGTTTCAAGAATTGAAAGGGCGCGTGTTCGATTATTTTTATCGTCCATTATCGTCCACGTATCGTTCAAGTTGCATTATCTAATATTATATAATAATAATAATATATCAATATGTAATAATAATAATAATAATATATTATAATAATAATATTATTATTTGGATATTATTTAACCTCGTCAAGTACGAATTTTTAATTTCAATTGCAACAAAGAAATTCAATTTGATTTCGTTTTATTTTTTTACTCGCGTCGCGACAATTGGGATTTACTTTTGCAACGGTTTCGCGAATGGAAGTAGCTTTTTCATAGCAAGTACGAACGTAGCCAAGATTAGATTTATAAGGACATTTGTTGTAGCCAAATAGACGCATGTCCTGAGAAATAAGTATACATATGTCACGCAGAATTTCGAAATTAGAAAGTTGAAGGGAAAATGAAATTTGGATATATTATTATTAGTATTATTAGTATCATTCTATCAATGAAAGTCATCAATGTTTATTTTTAATTTTTAATATCGTTCGTATCATTCTATCAATAAACGTCAACAAAAATTATAACAGGAAAAAATATATATAATAGGAAAAAATAGTAAAGGTTTTTGTAATTTCGCTCGTGAAATCTGAAACCCGTCAAATTGACGCGTATCCAGAGAAATAGATATACATCATACAGAATTTCGAAATTAGAAAGTTGAAAAGAGAATGAAATTTATTTTTAATATTTAGTTTTAATTTTTAATATTATTCGTATCAATTCTATCGACAGAAGTCAGCAAAAACAATTGCTAGGAAATAATAGTAAAGGTTTTCGTAATTAGAAATAGATATACATCATACAGAGTTTCGAAATTAGAAAGTTGAAGAGAAATTGAAATTTATTTTTAATATTATTCGTATCAATTCTATCGACAAAAATGAGCAAAAGAAATTGCTAGGAAATAATAATAAAGGTTTTCGTGATTAGAAATAGATATACATCATACAGAGTTTCGAAATTAGAAAATTGAAGAGAAATTGAAATTTATTTTTGATATTATTCGTATCAATTCTATCGACAAAAGTTAGCAAAAACAATTGCTAGGAAATAATAATAGACGTTTCTGTAATTTTGTTCATGAAACCCCGTGAAATTGACGAGTGCCATAAACCCAGTGTTAAACTTCCTTTCTGCCACCCTCGAGTCCACGTTGCTCCAATGAACTTGCCAGATCACCTGTCAACTTCGAGTCGGTCCCTAGCCCCAAAATTTTAAAGCACGCAGATAGTCGTCGTGGAGGTCGCACATGGCCAGGAAGAAGAGAGAATACTCTCGTAGATTTCGAGAAGCTTCTTCTTCTTCTACGGCCTGGTGTGCTGGCAGCGTGTCATCGGGTTGTCAACGGCGCATCATCGGCACCGTGAAGGCCGGAGAGAAGCTTCGGAGGACGCTACCTGGTCGCGTCGGTCGCCATATTGGAGGCGGTCCATCCCTCGACCAATCGGCTGCGCGCCTTCAGAAGCGTGGGTGCACGCCACGTCCAATGATTTCTTCTCGTTCCCCACCACGTGATCACCACACCCACATGTGTCACGTGCGCACAAGCGGCTGCAGAATCGCTCCGGCAGTCGTTCGCGTACTCTCGTACCGATCGGATCGACGACGGATCCTTTGTATTTCACGCTCGTTGCAAGCATAGCTTCTCGATGGTCAGATCGTAGATAATCCGTGCTCGTTCGATGGATCGAAACACATTCGGCGAACGTGTTGGGCCGCAGTTTTTGTTGACAAGTGACGTTGAAGAGTAAAAATGTTGTTTCGCGAGAGGAGCCTGCAGTTGCTCTCCTTTTGGAGCCAGTGAGAGTGAATTATGGCTTGATTATGGAAGATATCTAAGATGATTGACAGTAAGTAGAACTTCCAGTTTCAACTCTGATGCTTTCGTTTCCTCTCGAGGACCAATGAAAATAAAAAGAAGAAGAAGAAGAAGAAATAAAATAATAAAATAATTCGTGAAGAGAAGAGACACGATTATGAGGTATGATTAGCAATATTACGAGGGAAGGAAGAGTGCAGAGATTGAACTGAAAAAGGGAAAGAAGAAGTGGAAACGCAACTATGACTATGATAAGTCTGGAAATGCTGGGCCGCGAGGCTCTGCCTTTGGAAGGGATGTATCGGCGCGCTCGTCAAGATGTCTTGACACCGCCGCGCGACAGCCCGGAGTCACAAAACGGCCGGCGGAACGGTAGTAGCGCCGGGAACGTTGCGAGCGTCGCGAGCTTCGACGGGGCTCCTCGCCGCGAGATGCACCCCCTGGACCAACCGGCCGTGGAGCTTGGCTTGCCGCCGAATCTGCCTGAAACCCTCTACTGTAAGTGAGGGAATCTTGGTTTCTCAGTTCGTCGACATCGACGAACATCGCTTAATGTCTGTTACTTACACAGTGTGTAACATCGCCGAGAAACAATCGAGACGTAATCGATAATTGAAACTCAGATTTCAGGCAACAGACGTACGACGATTTAACCTCTTGCGCTGGAATGACAAAATTGCAATATCCTCTCAGTTTTTAAGTATACTTGAGTACAACGCGGGCAAAACAGATAATAAATTTATTCTCAATAGTTTCCACCCAGCGATATCGTACCGACGAGTTCAAAAAGAAGGCGACGAATTGTTGCGTACGGTGTTTGGTCACTCGTTGTGGTCCGCAATCAGTTGCCAGCGCAAGTGGCTGAATTTACTAAAACTGAAATTAGCAAATAAAATTATTAAACTAGAATTAGAGAACGATACAGCGATTGGAGCAAAAGTATCTTTGCTCGTTGTTACGTTGCAAACAACAATCGAGTGTTAAAACACTTTACCGACCGGTAGCCTATTTATTCGGCTACTATTTACGATAATACGTACGACAATTTGAACTAAATTTCAGATAATAGACGTACGACGATTTAAACTTAGACACAGNNGTTGCAGCAAAAATATCTTGCTCGTTTTTACGTTACAAACAACAATCGAGTGTTAAAACACTTTACCGACCGGTAGCCTATATAATCGGCTAAGGTCGGTAAAGTGTTAATTGTAACTTGTCTCGTATATTATAATTCTAACCCTCTGTACTCTTTTATCGAGTGTGACTCGAGATCAGTTTTCGTTGCACAGGAATTCTTACGTTGAGTCACACTCGACATTTTTAAATTGCCAGGAAAGAAACAATTGAAAAATAGGAGTGCATAGAACTGTCAAAATGAAAAGAAGACGTACCACGAAAACAATGTACTCGTGACTTTTGTTACAATTGTCTCGACTATCTTGTTAGAGTCGAGAGCTTTGCAATTTCGCGGCTGCTCCCGACGACGTGTTGCCGAGCGTTGAGCAATTTCTTCGTTGAATGTTGCAGCTTCGATACCAAAGTGCGGAGGCTGCCAGGAAGTGATTCTGGACAAATATGTTCTGGCAGTCCTGGAGAGGTGTTGGCACGCCAGGTGTCTCACGTGCCGTGATTGCGGCGCCAGGTTGACCGATAAATGTTTCTCGAGAAACGGCCACGTTTTCTGCAAGGACGACTTCTTCAAGTAAGTACCAATAATTATTTCCACTCGTTCTCTTTTTTTCCTTTTTTTTTTCTTCTTTTTTTTCTTCTTTTTTCGTTTCAATACAGAAAATTGCGAGCTCCGAGACTATGCAATTTTCTTGCATTTTTTATGAAGCACGTGACTGAAAGAAATTATACCCTAACGAAGATCGATCGGCACACGCGTAACGCGAGTCTCTCTCTCTCTCTCTCTCGACGTATTTTTCCAATTGAAACGCGTGCGAACCGGCAGATTACACGGCGAGCATTGACGCGGCAATTTTTCTCTCTGGAACATTATCTAAACAGATAGCGAAAACGTACAGAACCGCTTATCAACCGGTTGTTTGTCGACTTTGCGAAAATTGCAAAAAAGAACCGTGAGTCTGTCTATTATTCGCGGTGGATAATGGAAAAGCGGACGCGACAGGGGAAAAAGTAAGAAGGAAGAGTTAGATCAAACCGTGCATGTACATCCAGGGAACATCTAGGTATCGATTGTGTCAGGAAAGCGTGCCTTTTCTCATCTACCCACACCTCCCCAAGGATGAGACGCCATTTTTCTTCTCCTGTGAGCTGAATCGAAGGAACTTCTCTCTCTCTCTCTCTCTCTCTCTATCCCTCCTTCGTTCCACCCTTCTCCACCCTTTTCTTTGGTCTCGGAAATTTCAGGGGCGCCGGAGTACTCGCTCACGCCTTCGGAAACATTAAGAGAAACTCCTTGTTCGAGTTCGATAAGGGATCCGTTTGTTGCGTTCCTAAAAGCTTCCCCGATGAATCCCCGAAAGATTCGAACGGTACGACCTGCTAAGAAATATCGCCAGGCTAAGTTAGAAAGTCTTTTTTGAACAAAGTCGAAAATCTTCTCTGCCGAGATTGGAACGTAAAAGTGTCCATTGGAAGACGTAGCTGCGTCGAACACTTTGCGCTCGCTCAGAGTATCATACTGTGATCAACCTCTTGCGCTGGACTGACGAATTTTTTGTCCGAAAGTTGTAAGTATATTTAAATGTAACCTAGTATGCTTGTTAATAATTTCTATCCAGCGATATCGCACCGACGAGTTCAGAAGGAAAAGAAAACGACGAAACTATTGCATACGGCTGGGCCACTCGTTACGGTCCGCGGATCAGTTGCCAGCGCAAGGGGTTAACATCCGAGAGTTAACTGCATCTAACATCTTCTTCCTTTGAAGGCCAGGAACTCAGGTGGAACCTCGATCGAACGAGATGATTGCTGTGATCAATGCGCGAACGTAATGTGAAAATGTTGTATGTTGTTGGTATGGCAGGCGTTTCGGGACGAAATGCGCGGGCTGCGGCCAGGGACTGGCACCATCGCAAGTCGTGCGTAAGGCGCAGGAACTCATCTATCATCTGACGTGTTTCTCGTGCGCCCTTTGCTCCCGGCAACTGGACACTGGCGACGAGTTCTATCTCATGGAAGACAGGAAGCTCGTTTGCAAGCCGGACTACGAGCAGGCAAGGGCGAAAGGTAACGTACATTGTTAATATGAAACTTGCAATTAGTCAAAAAAGACTAGACTGCCAGTCCAGGATATTAGTTACAAGCCAGAATCAGTCGTAGTTAGTCAAAAAATACTAGTGCGAGTGTGAAAGCACAATTGAGCTTCCTTGGAAGAGACCAAAGCTATCACATTTTCTTGTAGAAGCCAGCAGACTCATTCTAAAAAAAATAAAGGTAGTGTCAGTTAATGCTAGTCTAAGTTACAAGTCATAAATCACGATTAGTCACTTAGTTAGTTAGAGAACACTAGTACGAGTGTGAAGGCACAATTGAGCTTCCTTGGAAAAGACCAAAGCTATCACGTTCTCTTGTAGAAGCCAGCAGACTTATTCTAAAAAAAATAAAGGTAGTGTCAATTAGTGCTAGT